GGTGTATAGATAATGGATGGAATTCAATTTTGAACCCATTTTCTCACCTGTGACATACTAGGAAAGGCTTTCATTTTGAAAGCCCACATGAGGAAGTCAGAACGAAGGATGAAGCAACAATTCAACAAGCAGACTGAGGTTTGGTTTTTGCTTTATGTTTGATTCAAGCAACAGAATTATGTAATAAGGTTTTAATAGATACTACGTTTGGGTTAAAATATGACTCTTGTCCAACACATTTGAAGCTTCTCCTGAATTTTATGGTTTAGCAGGATGTAAACAACTGCACTGTAAAAAATAAAAATCCATAAAAAAAGTGTAAAAACAATGTTTTCAATTGTGTAACATAACAAAAACAACAGAAAAACAGTAAAAAATAATGACAAATATCTGTAAAATATTTGTATTTTTTAGCTGATTTACATACAATGAAACTCTAATTGTATGGTCCCACAAAACTGAATATTTGTAAAAAAAAAACAACAAAAAAAAACAAACAAAAAAAAAACAAATTGTTGATGAGGACGTTATCTGTTTTCTTTACAGTCAACTCTTAAATCAGTGCCTTTTTTCTAAGGTCATGCCAGATATTATATATAATTTAATAAATTGAGTAAAATAACAGTTTAAAAATGGCAAACAAGCTGTCACATTGTTTTAAGCAGAACTAAGACACTTTGGACATAAGCAGATAAAATTTTAAATATCTTATGAGCTTCATCATCAATTAAAATTGCAGAAAGCGTAAAAATCTGGGAGTCTCAATCAATGAGAAGCTGATTTTTAAACATTTTGTGTCCATCCTGGTGGTTAAACTATGTTAAAAGAAATGGTTTCTTTGAGATCACTCTGCATTAAGATGTATCGCTGTTGATAGCTATAATACTCACTGCGATGTGTATGCTGAGGCTGGTTGGTCTTCCGTCTCTGTGAGGCCTGATAGACTTTCATTTATTTATGCGGCTTTTGTTAAAGTTCTACCCCCATACGTTACCTCACTACTGACTTTTAATGTCAAACTGATGGACTGCTTTTGCTGAGCTTGGAAAATCTCGTTTTAGTCACTGTGTCTGGAACAACCTGTAGAACAATTGAAAGCATGACTCATTTCTATCCTTTGGGAAATTTGGGTTTCTAAGAATGATATTCTAATTTGGGTTTCGTATTTTACACTGTTGTTATTTTAAAACTTAAATGCTCTAATTAATGGGGGTTTTTTTGTTGTTGTTTTAAATCATCTTACTAACCTTGTCTCTTAATATTTTATTGTCATCCAAGTTTTTATTTGTGTGCCAACATTTTTTTGTTCGGCTACACTTTAAACGAGGCCTCTGTACCTGCAGAGTTTGATTAAAGATTGAATGAATGAATAACTTGTTTGAGAGTCACAGCAAAAGCTCGTTATTGTGTATATGAGTCCATATGTGCTTTCACGTGACATGAGCAAGTGATAAAAGGGAGTGACCGAAAAACATAACCTGCAGAGATTTGCTTAAAAATAACAATTATTGAGACACTCTGCCACCCAGCTGTGAGTAATAGTCTCAGCCTGGACACTCCTGTAAGACCTTCAGCGCATTATATTGACTTGTATTCAAATCCTGAAGAGGTACTGTAAGTGTAAACCAAGTCTTCACTCTCCAGCTGAGTTATTGACATTAATATGACAGATTTTAGCCTCCACTTCCCACTCCCACACAGGCAACAATCTGAGGGTTTTTGCTGTTTAGACTCTCGCTGTGAGCTTTGTTCCTCCCCTTCAGTCTGCAACTCTGGGAGTCCCCTGAAAGTGGACACACAGGCAGAAAGGCAGCCGCACACACACATCCACAACATACGCACAGCACCGTGGGGAAATCCCCTGCAGCCCGGGGACTGTGAGCTGCACTGCGGCCCCTCGCATGGAGCATCTGCTGGGGTAGGAGTGTGTGGGGGGTTGGCCTAAATGTCAAAGGTAAAAGGTGCTGCAGAACACAAGTGGAAACATGCAATAGACCCACTCACAGCTGCTGATCTCAGCGTAGAGGAGGGGGAACCCCAGCTCTGTCTGGCTTGTTTTTTTTCTTCCAAGCACAACACAGACCAAAAAAAAAAAAAAAATCACACTTAATGTTTCTTTCCACAGGATTCATGCTGTTTACGTGGACCGCCAACTGTGACAAGACGTATGGAAATGACAAACGCACTCGCAAATTGTGACTAATTTAATAAGCTCTTTAATCTCTTTGATGTGATGTAACTAGAACTTTTATTTGTCATTTAATAATTTTAGAATTTAATGGGGGGTTTTTCTTAATATTTTAGCATCCATTGATTATTTTCTTGACAAATCAATTAGTTTTTGGTTCATAAAATGTCAGAAAATGTTGAAAAATGTCAATCACAACCAAAGATGTCTTCCTCTTCTTTTGTCCACAACCCCTAGAATTCAGTTTATTGTCATAGAGGAGCAAAGAAACCAGAAAATATTCATATTTAAGGAGCTGCAATCAAAGAATTTAGATTCTATTTCTTAAAAATAAAGTCTGCATTCTAATTGTTTAGTTGATTAGTCTGTAAAAAAAAATGCCAGAAAATTGTGAAAAATGTCAATCACAACCCAAGACGACGTCCTAAAATGACTTGTTCTGTCCACAAACCAGAGATGATCAATTTACTGTCATAGAGGAGCAAAGAAACATTCATATTTAGGAAGTTGCAATCAAAGAATTTAGATTATATTTCTTTAAAGTAGTCTAAATTCTTTATCAATTTGTTGTTTGGTCTCTAAATATGCTTTAAAAAATGGTGAAAAATGTCAATCACAGCCCCACACGCTGTCCTCAAATGTCTCGCTTTGTCCACAACCCAAAGAAACTCTGTTTACTGTCATAGAGGAACAAAGAAACCAGACAATATTAATATTTAAGAAGCTGTAATCAAATAATTTAGATTATTTCTTAAACATTTACTCAAATTCAATAAATGATCAAAACAAGCTGGTGATTAACTTAGTATCTGACAACTGACTGATGAATGGTTGCATCTGTGACACACTTTTAAAGGTCACACATAATAGATTGTGTCATACGATTAATTGAAAAAAAGAAAAGAACCAAACATATGACCACCCAGCAGGGCCGTGGTCAGCAGTTTGGAAACTTTGAGGATGTAAAGTCCAAGAACTTAACATCACCCACGAAGACATTTATTCATTTCGGAGATCAATCACATTTTCTGCAACCGTTGTTATCGTTAAAATCTACGTATGTGTCATAGAGAGCACTTTGTTCCATTAATGCACCCAGCATGTGTAATATGCATATAGTGTCAATAATACGTATAGTTTGATACAGTAGAAGCTCGACATGTCATTAAAGCTTTAATTTCCACATTACTCAGTGGCATAAATGTCCTCAATGGCCACGCCTTACGGATTTTTAAGAGATTTAGATTTTTTTTAAAAGTTGTTGTGGTTATTATTGTTATTATTAATTGCATTTAATTATTTATTTATCTGTTTTTTTTATTATTGTCCTCAATGACCCTGCCTTTAGATATTTAAAAAAACCAAATGTTATTGTGATGATAATGGTGACGATGATCATGATTATTATTATTATATTGATAATGGTAATAATAGTAGAAGTGGTACTATAACATGTTTTTTTTAATCTATTATAATCTCACTTTTTTTTTTTATAGTTAATTTTTTATTATTGCCCTAACAACAATAATAGTGGTTCAGGTGGTAGAGCAGTTGTCCTCTGATCGTAGGGTCGGCGGTTCGATCCCTTACCCCTCCACAGTTGAAGTGTCCTTGGGCAAGACACTGAACCCGAAGTTGCTCCCAATGGCAGGCAGCACTTTGCATGGCAGCTCTGGTGCCACTGGTGTATGAATGTGTGTGTGAATGGGTGAATGAGAAAACACTGTAAAACGCTTTGAGTGCCGCTAAGGTAGAAAAGTGCTATATAAGTGCAGTCCATTTAGCATTACTTTGCTGAATGGACTTAACACTTTGCTGGTGTTCTTTTTGTACCATGCACCTTGGGCATCAGCCACTTAGGTCATTAATTCTGTTCATATACTAAGGACCTTATTTACTTATTTATTTATTTTTTTATATTACCATCATCATTATTTTTATTTGCATTTAAACTATGTCTACTATCTCTTCTCTTTTTTGTTGTTGCTTATTGTTTTATTACCGTCGAAGAATAGGATTTTTTTTTTAAATAAATAGAAAAGGATTTTTTTCCCCCCGGAAATTATTACTGTTAGTAGTAGAAGTTATCTTTTAGCACATTATTTATTATTGTTTTTTTTTTTTTTTTAATTATTTAAGTGATTGTATTATTTTATTATTATTATTATTTTTAAAATATAGTTCTCTAAAGGACTTTGCGTTGCTTTTTGTTTCGTCATAAAAGTAGCACACATCAAAATGTGACTGACCTTTTGTTTGACTGGTTTCCACGAAAGTACAAACTTAAGGCCACTTCATGGTATGAACGTAAATTGCTTGTGTAAACTGTTTCGGAACAATGAGTGGACATTATTTAACCGTAATAAAAATGCGATCAGAGGCAGGAACGAACAGTTGCGGTATTATTTCTGAGGCATCACGGGACGCGCTGAGGGGCGGAACGGAACTGCGCTTGACGTCGGAATCTATTCGCAGACGCACTGGGAAGAGAGTTGTTTACAAACAGTTTACTGTCCGAAACAAGAAGGAAAAGGTTGTTTTAAAGCACCCAGTGTGGCTAAACGGTAATTATCAGTCCGTGGCGGCTGTAAATTATAAAGCCGAAGTGTGTTTAAACTGGTAAGTGTCGCATTTGTCCTTTAAGTTCGCTGTTTTTGTGTTTAGCAGCTGTTTCGGTGCCTTCGTGTTAAACTGAAGCTCAAGTATCTGAGCAGTAACCGGCTACCAGAGCTGCTAGCTCCCATAGCCGAACGCTAAAACAACGCTGGTCCGCTAATATACAATCAAACTGAAAGTGTGCCAATAATTTCACTTTTGTTCACACGTCAGAAGATAAGTTCATGAGACGTGCCCTGACTCAGAAAGAGTCTAGTTTCTAGCGTCACGTCACCCCCGATTCTTAATTTATCATTTAAAACAGAACAATGTGTGCAGTGGAAACGGGATCGGTTAATAATCAGTTACTTCCGGCTCCTTTGAAGATCACAGAAACAAAAAGTGACACCAAGAAAGTCCGCCTTCTGAAACATATGACATTTCTGGTGAGACAAAGATTTCAGTATCAAAAGTTATTAGAAAACTGGGTTAGATCGAGATATTGGAGATGTTTTTGTTCGTGTTCACACATATAATCAGTAAATGTAGCTGGGAAACATAACTTCATCAAAAACGTGGGTCAGATGAGATCAGGCTTAGGTAGCACATGTGTCAAAATGTATTCAAGAGTGTCTCCGTCTTTCTCTTAAATTAATCGCCATCTATTCTA